TGGGACCACAGGTGCCCGCCACAACGCCCGGCTATTTTTTGGTTGCAGCCGTCGTTGTTTGGCGGGTCCGGGCTGGGGACTCGAACCCACCACCTTAGGTGTACGTGGCTGGTGCCTTAGCCGGTTGAGCTATAGGCGCCGAGCCTAAAACATATTCTTTAGTGTTTATAAAGCTGTTAATTATTATACATATTTTACATATATATATATATTTTAACAGATCAGCTGGACATTATTACCAGAATTCCAAAAGTACTGGTGAGTATCACAGATAAAGCAGGTAATACTCTATTAAAGATAATAGGTGATTCAGAGAATCCAACTTTCCTGTAACTACTATAATGGAGTTTTAAAAGACTTTATTAGCATCCCTTGAACTTAGTATTTAAGATTTCAAAGAGCAATCTGGCAGGTTCTTTCTCTTCTATATCACATCAAATATATATATTTTTTGTTGTTGTTGAGACAGAGTCCCACCCTATGCCACTGAGTAGAATGCAGTGGCTTGGTAGTTCACTGCAACCTCAGACTCCAGCTTGTGGGCATCCCGCTGCCTCAGCCTCCTGAAGCCGCTGGGATTACAGGCCCTCGCTGCAGTGCCTGGCTGGGTTCTTCCATTATTTTCATGAGTCAGGGTCTCACTCTTGCTCAGGCGAGCCTCAAACTTCTGAGCTCAAGCGATTCTCTCAGGCTGATTCTCCTCAGGCTCCCACAGTGCTGGGATTACAAGTGTGAGCCACCATGCCTGGCCAAATATTTTTTAAATTAGCAATGAATCCTAAAAGAACTGTGTTTATAACTGATATTAGTTGAAAAGCACAAGTACAGCCTGGGTTTATACAAAATTAAAAGGACAAATTCTAAACTAAACAGTTTCAAAGAACATAAACTATTTCTCATTGCTGAAATTTTTCTCTCATTTGAAATAAAAGATGGAGCTTTCACATACCTCTTTTTGCTAGAGTTAAGAAAGTAAGACAAGTCCCCAAAGGCTTCTCACTAACTGCTTTTTTTTTCCTTTGGGAGAAGATGGGATTAACTGATGTTAGGGATATATGTATGTATGTATTAAAATATAGTATTATAGTTATAGTAGCTTTTAGGTTTTTTTTTTTTTTTTTTTTGAGCCAGAGCCTCAAGCTGTC